TCACAAGACTTGCCAAATTTTTTTTGGACAAAATTATAGGATATTTTGTAATTGGATTTTGGGCCCATGACTGGTAAGGTGATAGAATTCATACTTTGGTTTCTGCAGTTTGGGTCTTGCCAAGCCTTTATCCAGGCTTTGCTTAGTATGCTAACCTAAGTCTTATTGACTCACATAAAATTCCATTTGTTTTAGTAAGCAGTAAGGGAATGTCTAATTTGTGTGGCTCAATAATTGCTTCAAAGCATAAACTTGTGCCTCTTCGCCCAGCACCACCACCAGTGTCACATACAGGATGAAACTGAGCAAAATCAGCAGCACATTGGCCCCTGGTCTGAGGCTGTCCTTTTTTTGAAGTCACATGTATCAGCAGCCACTATCCACCCATAGGCCAGAATCATGCTGGAGATATGAACGGGTTTCTGATTTCCATGAGTTTTTCTCACAGAAAGTAAACACAACCAAATAACATATTGCCACCTTCCTAGAATGGTATCCGAACAGCCACAAAATCAATATATATATATATATATATATATATATATATATATATATATATATATATATTCTAATTTTTAGCTTAATTTTATATCAGAGTAAAGAATGTAAATTCACTTTATATAAAATATTAAAATATGCTGACCCAGGGCCTGTTATGCTAAGAAAATGTCTCTTACTTTTCTGCTTTTGTGCTGTGATACTTTCTAGATCTTCAACACAGAATGATCTGTTTAAGATTCTGGCCAAAAGCCACCATGTAGGGGACAGTACTTTGACCTTCTTTGTAAGGTTGGTACAGAGAGAAATGCTTTTGTCCCAAAGGCCATATGGCAGGTCATCTAAGAATAAACTATTGTTTCCATGTACAGGACACACTAGCGATCCAAACATGATAATAAACCCTGTACTGTCTTTGTTCTGTAGCATTCAGAGTGAACTTAACTTTCATAGTCATTTATTTCTCTTGATTGACTCTTTGGAAATTAGTAAATTAAACAATTGATATTTTAAATTAGTGTAGTTTCTACTTTCAGTAGGTTATCTTTGTGTTTGGTAGTTTTCCCAAGGAGTAGGGATCCTGGGTTGAGGTTTTTTTGTCTCCCAATTCACTGAAGTGACCTGTCAGGTAGCACTCAACATCCACACTTGTAAGGGAAGAGTATATTTTCTGCCCTGTTGTCCTCACAGACGTCTTTCTAGTATCAAAATGAGATAATTGAATGACGGTATCTCTAAGATGATGCAAAAATTCCTTGTGTTACCCAAATAGCATTTTTGCCAATGAGACCAAATATAAAAGGTAGTTCTTACCTTTATATGTCCTACAGATTAAGACCCAAGAAATTATAATGAACTCTTAGGATTGTAGAGTGTGTCTGTGGAAAGGCCCCATATCTAATAATTTCCCACCTGAGTTTAATGTTAGGGAAAATATAATTTTTTGTGTGAACTTGTTAGTCATCTAGATGACTTAGGTTTGAATATATTGAAATTGTGCCTGTAAAACAATGTGAGAGTTGAAAGAACTGGGGAAAGCACAGGAATAGGATTCTTTTCCCCTCAGGGTACCACCTGATTTGCTAGAGGTTCAGAGGGGTACTTCCTCTTCCTAGCCGAGGGCATCCAGACCTTGAGCTGTCAGAGGTGTGACAGAGCTTGAGGTAATAAAAGATAGCCCCAAAGTCCAATGAATTTAGCAGTATCTTGCTGCAATTTGGAGAAGAAAGATAGATTACATGAATGTTCCAATCAGCATGGATATAAATAGGAAATTAACTATGTTGATCCCATGGCTATTAATTTGAAGTAGGCTTTGAAATCTATTTAATGTGTTGTTGATGTTTTATTTTAGGAAATGTTGAACGGTGCCTAACCTTCCTTGACTCACCCTTTCTCTTGATCTGTCCACTAACCCAGGTTTCTCACAAGTCCCTTAATGCAAGGTTGTTCTCATGCATTGTTTCTGGGGTCTGCAGCTGTGGTGGTTGAAGAGCAAGTATAGTAGAAGTTAGAGTTGTGAGTGTAGTAAGTAATTAACTGGAGTTTCTGTAAAGTACAATCCTGGTTAGGTGTTTGCCAGGTCCTCTTAATGAACTCCTTGAACACATTTAGTGCCTTTACTTGCCATTGTGACTGAATGTGTATTAGAATTATGAAAGGACAATTATCCCTAGGTGAATGTTATCAATAAATACATGGAGGAAAATGTGATTCATCGACACCTGCAGCCATCCTTATTCTCATGGATTTTTAAAAAGCTACTATAACTCCTCCACCTTTCCTCTTACCTATTTCTTCCTCTTACCTACAAACCGTTTTCACTCACTCATATGGATTGTGTTTCTAAGACACAGGTCTGTTTGCATCTTTCCTGCCTTGTGCTTTGTTTTGTTTTTTTAAATCACCTGCATCAAAAATTTCCATCTGTGGTCTGGTGCCATCGAGAATAACTCTGGCCTTGACCCTTCACCTTCCTTCAGTACATTGCCTGGGAAGGCAAAAGCTTCTATTACTGCCCAAAGAAGAGACCATTAGGAAAGCATTTCAGCTGCCAGAAGTTATGCTGGCACATTAAAAGTCACATCAAACATTTTGAAATAGTTTACATTTTAAAACATTTAGCCACACTAAAGTTTTATATAACTTAGTGATAAAAACTGACTGGATTTAAAAGCAAATGGCTTTTAAATGATAGATTAAACAAAATGGTGGCAGCAATAAACCAAAAAATAAAAGAACCTTTTAATAATGGTGTACAAAAGTAGTCCTCATGATCATATTATCTGGGTTTCCAGATTCAGATCTTCAGGAGAACAGAATTTAGACGTAAGTGTGCATCTGAAGATAGATGGCCAAATGGATGGTTATTTATTTATGTATATAGAGAGATAGATAAAATCTTAACATTTTGAAACAGAAAACAGATTTATTGCTTGATGAGAGTAAATAAGAATTCCAAGCACAACTATTTTATAAATACAGAGATTTTTATACAAAACAAATGAACTATAGATTTTGCTGTCCTATCTAATTGTGCTTAAAAATATTACTTCTATATCTCTAAATACTATTCCCAGAAAGGAATCAGGTGCTCTTGGAGAAATGACTGGTTTTAGAGGAGAAATAGGAAAGGTACAATTTGAGCCTGGAGCATCTTGTTACACCAGATAGCAAAGAATCAAAGACCACTTTTGACAAAAGAACTCAAAAGCCAGCTTAAATAAACTTATATCAAAAACACAGGATTAGGGATAGGGGAATGGCCCTAGCCTAGCAAGTGAAAGGCCCTGAGCTCAAACCCTAGTAACTCTTAAAAAAAAAAAAACAAGCTTATATCAATAAAGATAGAAACCACAGTGGACTGAAACATATCAAATGCCTAAATCCATGAGTGCATAATTACACTTTAAAAAAACACACATTGACCATGTTTGAGACTATTAGGTTTTGAGAATTGGTAAATAAAAAGAAAGAATCAGATATCTGTTCTGCCTTTTGTATATGATCTGAGCTTCAGGGTACCTCAGAGAAATTTCTCTTTATCGAACTATCCTAGCTAAAAAACCAAGAATGAGTAGTAGACTATCACATTGAAATTCCCGGTGAATTATTGGCTCTAGACAAATGTCATCAATGACTGACAATATGACAAAAAGAGGTGTTCTGTGCCTCCTGATTGAAGTTCAGACACCCCACCTCCCCAACTAAGGTTTGAATTCAGATGAGGCCTCTAGATCCAATTACAGTAATAGGAAAATGAAGAACAGAGTAAGATGTTAAACCACACCAATGGAATGCAGTATATAAAATCCAGATTTGGAGACTACCAAAGAGCACAATTCCTTCAACAACAATTTAAAAAATGACAAGGAAAGACTAAACATGAAGAAAAAAAATACCTATAGATACATAAATTTAAAGAACCTAGCAAAGAATCACAATGTATGAGCCTCATTTGAGTCCATACTCACCCCGAAACAAAATTGTAAGCCATCGTAATGCTTATTTGATCATGTTCAGTAATGATTTTCATTTTAGGTATGATGATTCTGTTGCATTTGTGGTTTGTTATTTTTTAATGTCCTTATCTTTTAGAGACACACACTGAAATATTTATAAGTGAATTGATATAATACTTGGCACTCACTCCCAAATAATCTGTCCTGAAGGACCAAGATGGAATTAGCCAAGGAAGTTGATGGGAATATCAGTAAAAAATATTGGTCAAATATTGATTATTGTTGAAGCCAAGAAGTAGACACAGCTAGTTTTATTTTGTTTTTTCTCCTTTCGTATGTACTTGAATAGCTCCAAAATAAAAGTTAATACATGTCTATATATATATACACACATATATAAGATGCGTATGGTGATGCATAACTTTAATCCTAGCACCCATGAGGTAGAAACAGCAAAGTTGTGAATTTGAGGGCAGACCTATATAGTAAGACCCTATCAAGAGAAAAAAGTGTCTGAACTTTTATAGATGATATTATATAGATATAGCAATAGTTATGCATATCTTACAAAATGAGTAAAATTGCAACGTTTCACCCAGGTTTAAATGTTGAAAAGAATTCTTTACAACCAGACACGTATTAGAGTGAGCAAACTCTAAGACACTGACATTTGGAAATGCTTGTAGTGAAAGTACTGTAAATAAACCCAGTCACCTCCTAATACCACATGTAAGACTAAAGGTCAAAAGTGAGGCCCCAAATTATGTTATAAATTAGGAAATCTCAGAACCCGAAGAACTTTTGAGTCTGGTTGGGGGAGATGTACAGTGGCACTGCATGGAAAATATATGGAATGTAATCATATGTTGTAGACACATGTAACAGGAAGGGAAGTGACAGGAAGGGAAGTGAAGGGGCTTCCTGAAGCAGGACATCATGCCACCCTGCCAAGGATGCTGTGCTTGAAGAGGTGTCTTTTACATTTCTGAGTTGATTTTTCCTTGATGATTAATAAGCTTGTTTTTGTTTTTCCTTTCCTAGCTGGGGAATGGCAGTCAATGTGTACTCTACCTCGATAACCCAAGAGACTATGAGCAGACATGACATCATTGCATGGGTTAATGACATAGTATCTTTAAACTACACAAAAGTGGAGCAGCTTTGTTCAGGTAAGAGGTCACCCTTTAAGTACTTACCTGAAATGTTTACTGTCAAGTAGAATGTGATTTAATGAACCACAGATGATATATTTTGGGTTAGAAAAAATAAATATATCAATATAAATATATAAAATATGTAATTTAAAGGAGAATTTTAAGTTTAACTAAAGAATGTATAAGAAAAATGTCTGTGAGCATCAAAAAGCATAGAGCCATCCTGACTGGTATGTGAGCCACCTCTTGCTTGCTCTCTGTAACGCCTTCTCTGTCATGCTACACTTACTGCTTAAAACAGAGTGGATCTTGAAATACCCTTCCTTAAAACCTTTAGGACGCCACGTTGTCCTTCCCACAGAATAAAATGCAAACAGGGTCCACATAGCTGATAAAGTCCTTTCGCTTCTGGCTGCTTCTTACCCATCTTTTCAGTTTCATCCTCCACATTCCTGTCCCTTGTGCCTCAGTCCCACAAAACACTCTTGTTCCCTAAATTCCCTTTGATATCTCAGTTTTGTTCTTGCTTCCTTTGCTAAGATCTTTCCCCTTCTCATTGTTTGTGGTAAAATCCTGTTCACATTTTAAATTCCATCTCATCTGCTACCTGCTCTCTGAAGAATTCCTCAGCGTTCCAGAAAGACTGCCCAGTCCCCCAAAATAGCTCATGTCACACTGTATTATAATGTCTAGCTTCTGCTCCCCTCAAGGTGGCAAGGATTCTTGAGGAGAGACCTGTATTTATTTTTTATCAAATGCCTGCTGTAACACTCTACCTGATACTGAGTAGATCTGCAAGGAATGCGGATTGAGTTAAATTTATTTTAAAAAATTAAAAGATTCTTTTTTAGTAATAAAGTAAGTCATGTTATAAAGTAATTTATTCTTAGATTTGAGCCATTTACCAAGAGTATTTCTTGTAAACTAATAGGTAAGAGATTTCCTCTCTGACTCAATTCTAATATGAAAATGGTATTAGAAAATAGAGAATCTTACCAAAATGTCTTTGTGTGATATTCCATGAGACGTAATAAATGATGGCGTCTTCAGTTTAACCAGTGCATTGATATTGGACATTCTGCCCTTTCCCATTGGCTCACGTGTAAAAAAGGATTTCATGCAGTGCAATCAGAAATTTGAAAGTCCCCAGTAGTCACTCTCAGATCATGCCTGAGTCTAGCAGCTTCCAGTTTATATACTCACCCTTCACGGGGTCTGTAGTTGACCAGAATACATTAAAAGACTTTTTTTTTTTTGGTGGTACTGGGATTTGAACTCATGACCTAGTGCTTGCTAGGCAAGCACTCTACCACTTGAGCCACACCTTCATCCCTCTAACTTTCAATACTCTTCACATTTCCTCCTTCTGGATCATTTTTCCTGTGAAGGAGACAGCAAGGTTGGCTAGATCCCCATCATTGCCTTATCCTGTGTCTGTGCCTAAGCCTCAAATATGAAGTTCTAGTCCTGTGACTTAGGTCAGGAGTAGTTGCCATCGAACCAGTTTTTGTCAACTTAAGCCAGGCATGGTGGCACAGCATCCCAACTCTTGGGAGGCGGAGGCAGGCGGATCATGAGTGAGGTCATAATGGGCTACATTACGAGACCCAGTTTCAAAAACATGGAAGCAATAACAACTTAAAACAAGTGGGTATAGACTATGATGACTTCCTAAGTATAGATCTTATTCGGCTACTGAAATGGCCGTAAAGTTACTTTACAGAACAATTCTTACTGTAGCTTATCAAACTTCAAACCTCCCCTCACTCAAATATTATTGTGCTATTCTTGGTGTGCATTCTGGAGTTCCCTAGTATTTTATTTTTAATTTGCTACAAAGAAACAGAAACAATTTCTCTGTTATTAGCAATCCCTTTGTTAATGGCATATACCGTTTGGGGTTGTGATTGTTTGAGAAATTGTCCATTTTTCTACAGTGTCTGACATGTAGTGTTCCCTTAACAATACTCATTTTTGGGTAGAATGGAAAGCAATTTGCAGCTGCTAGGAGGCAAAAATGTACAACTTACCCACAAAGTGGGTATATGCATGTGTAGATAAAGAGAATGAGGCTGGTTCTCAAGAAAAAAGAGATGGGGGAAATCAGGGAATGAGGAAAAGAGAGAACACTTCTGGCTTCAAGTCTTAAATGTTGTAGGAACCCATGTGGAGCTTTCTAGACAGTACACTTAGAGTATTTTGGTGGCATATAAAAACAAGAACAAGTTAGACTTTCTTTTCAGATACAGTAGTGAATGTTTATAAGTAATATACATAATCTTTGTAGTTTTTTAAATTTCCCAGAAGGCAAATTTAACAAAATTTTAAGCAGCATTGGTGAAGGATTCTTGTACAGTTATCTTAAAGCCTGGGTGTGCGTTAGCTACCCTTTGCAGTGACATTGCTGCTGACAAGTGGGACTTGATGAAAACCTGTAGACACCATTTTGATCACTGTTGAACAGAGACAAGTCCATGAGGACAACTCTAAGGTTCAGAAGAATAAAGTAGATTTAAAGGTTCCTTCTTGCTCTGAAACATGTTTCTTGCTAGAAACCAAGCATGTTAATCTCCATATTGGAGGGATAAGTCTTTTTCTTCAGTCAGTGCACCAGATGCATGGATAATCTCTTGGGGAGCTGCTGAAAAAGCAGATGAGTGGGACCCTTGACTTTCTAAGTCAGTACCTCTAGTTATCAGGCCTGTGAACCTGCATTTAAAAAGCAACCCATGTACTTTCATCTGCAGCCTGAATGCAGTTCATTCTTGAGAAACCCCAAACCACTAAAAGTGAAGTTATCTATAGCTTATCTGCAAGTTTCCTTGTTCTTAATCAAATCTGTGATTTTTGTTTTAAGCAATGGCTTTTAGCAGGAGAAGGCTGTTTATTTATTTATGATTGGATTTATTTAAACCCTTCCTTGTTCTAGAAAACATTAAAGTAGCTGGGACAGTGCTATTAAGATAAGACCAAACTCAAATATTGTTGGCCTCAATGATTCATCTTCATCATATGGTCAAATTTTTGAGTAATAGTGTTTTTCTTAACATTTATTTTAATTCCTTTTTGTTTATTGTGTGGTATTGTATTTTAGTAGTATACTCTGGGGAACCATACACAAAATATCTTCACATAATTGAACTGATTCTTTTTTCTTATTCAACACATTTCTTTCTTCAAAGGACTATACTCAAAAAACAAAACAAAACAAACTTGTACTCCAATCCTGGTGGTTCCCCATTTTGCATTTTTTTCACCTATTATATTATTTCCCTTATTTAAATTTTTTTCCAACCAACAGATCTCCCTCCAACTCAGTATTAAAACTAATCTCAGCTATTTGAGTTCATAGCAACCTCAAATACTGCCTCACATCGGTGCATCATTTTCTTCAGAGTTTTCTGCTCTTATATAGCATCTCATTTGTTTCCATGGAAGCTTTTTTTTTTTTTGAGGTACTGGGGTACTTGTTAGGCAGGTACTATACCACTTGAGCTACTCCACCAGCCCTGTTTTATGTTGGGTTTTTTTGAGATCGGGTCTCTCACACTATTTGTCTCAGGCTAGTTGCAACCCAAGATCCTCCTGAGTAGCTAGAATTACAGGCATGAGCCACCAGCACCTGGCTATGTAAGCATTTTTTAAAAGCTCTTTTAAAGGAAAGACGGTGTGAGAGCAGTAAATTGTATTAAGTTGCACAACAATGACAGTGACTCACTCTGATCTCCTATTATTTTACCCCAAGGATGCTTATGACAATTTTCTTCAAACATTAAGTCTGAGCCCTCTAATTATATGCATATTTGGTGTACATTAATTTCTTGTGAAAAGCAACTTATAAGTTTCAAGCAAAAAATGGACTCATAAATGGAGAGGGCTATCAGTAGCTAAAGATGTATCAATTATATACCACCTACACTAATAGGACAGTATATTGCTCATCTAAATCTGCTTTGGAAATGAATCAAGGACTGCCCAATGTGGACTGGGGCCAGGTGTTGAACCACATGTAACATCATCCTGGTTTGACTTAGAAATATTGTCTATATTCATTCAATTGTTTTATAAAAATTATAGGGCTTATTGGAGAAGAACAGGTGGTGTTGTGTTTTTATTTGAGTACCAGCTCACACCAGTTCACTGGATGTTTTATGAGGTAGTGACGACAGAGAAAAGGCAGCATCACCAGTGTTAAACATCCCTACAGACAACTTCAGCTACGTGAGATGCCTTATTGGTGATGGTAGAAAAGAGGACTATAGGGAAAGGAAGAGGGAAAAGAAATGGAGAGGGGAGTATGACAGGAATGGGAAGATGTGCATCTCCTCCTCTTCCTTGTACTTCCCCTCCCCCACCCTAATATGTTAAGGCTCCTTTGAAACTTCTGACATCCATTTCTCTGTGTCTGGATCCTCTCCCCTAAGCTGGATCTAAGCAGCAAAGCCAGCTAGGACAGCCTGTCCTTTTCTGTCTGTGCATCTTCCCTCCCTCCTTCTCACTCCCTCAGAACAAGGCAGCAACTGACTTATAGCAAATGCCAAGATACCATCTACATGTTAGGGACATTGCCAATATTGTCCCTCCACCCTGTACTGTCATAGTGCTAATTGAGAGCTCATTTTCCTGAGCATTTGAGTATTGTAATGTCATTTGAGCAAAACCATTTTTGATGAAAAATTTAGGTATTTTTCTTGATTAACTTAAAAAAGGTAGAAAAATGATCAGAATTTGATTCAGTTTCAGTTTGTGCTTTTCCAAATTGGTTCAAGCTTTGTCTTGGATCAAGTTTCTGGCATTTTCTTATTCCAGAAAAGCTTCTGAATTTGGCCAATGATACTGTAGTCACATTTACAAATCTGGGTACGTGGTAGCTCTATGGAAGGGGGCTAGAATTTACAGTATGCTCTGGGGTTGGTTCTCATAGGTGTGGCCAGCAGACGTGCTGGGACCTGAGAGACAGGTCCTCAGGGTTTTACCCTGATGGCAGTCATTCCTGAGCCCAGCAGCATGTGTTC